GCCTTGCACTTCCTAGGTGAGGCAATGCCTCACCCTGCTTCAGCTGTTGCTGGCCGGGCTGCACCTGCGGACCAGCATCAACTGTCCGACATGCCCCAGTGAGATTAACCCGGTACCTCAGTTGAAAATGCAGAAATCACCCACCTTCTGTGTCACTCACGCTGGGAGCTGGAAGCTGGAGTTGTTCCTATTGGGCCATCTTGGGCGCCCCCCACTTCTTCTTTTTTCTTTTTCTGAGATGGAGTCTTACTCTGTCACCCAGGCTGGAGTGCAGTGGTGCGATGTTGGCTCACTGCACCCTCCGTCTTCCTGATTCAAGCGGTTCTCCTGCCTCAGCCTCCAGAGTAGCTGGGACTACAGGGATATGCCACCATGCCCGGCTAATTTTTTGTATTTTTAGTAAAGATGGGGTTTCACTGTGTTAGCCAGGATGGTCTCGATCTCCTGAACTTTTGATCTGCCCATCTCAGACTCCCAAAGTGCTGGGATTACAGACATGAGCCAACATGCCTGGCAGAAGGAATAAGTTTTTCAGAGTCCTCAGGAAAGGTTAAATTTTATCACTGGGAACAAATACTTATTTTCCTTGAAGTGACAACCTCTCACTTCATTTATTTTTGAGAATGAAAGGTGTACTTTTTTTTTAGACCGAGTCTCACTCTGTCACTTGGCTGGAGTGCACTGGCATCATCTCAGCTCAAGCAATCCTCTCACATCAGACTCCCCTGTAGCTGGGACCACAGATGTGTGACACCACACCAGGCTAATTCTTTTTTGCATTTTTGGTAGTGAGAGGGTTTTGTTATGTTGCCTAGGCTGGTCTCAAACTCCTGCAGGAGCTCAAGCCATCTGCCTGCGTTCACCTCCCAAAGTGCTGGAATTTTACAGCCGTGAGCTACTGCGCTGACCCAGTTGTACTTTTAATAAAAACGATGTTCTGTGAAAAAAGTGATTGTTCAGTTCACAATTAAATCACTAATTCTTCAAAACAAAAAAAAACAAAAAAAACTGTTCTGTAGTCAGCAGAAATGCTTCTTATTTCCGCTTATTCAGAATATTAAAGAGACATGCTAAAGTTTAATAACAACATTAATTTTTACTGCTTCATTAAAGACATTCTTAAGTAATTCAGGCTGTGTTTTTTAACGGTAGGAGACAGCAAAGAATAGAATGACTACTAATGTAATTGGTACCACTGCCTTGATTTATGCTGAGAAACCAACAGTTTTACCCACTTTTGCTTTTATACAATCATGGCAAGTGTCAACGAAAAAGCAGGCAATGACTTTGTATTCCTTTTACAAATTTTTAAATTTTTTATTCAGCTTTCTCAGGTATGATTCAGTACAGTGTTGGCCAGGCACAATGGCTCAGGCCTGTAATCCCAGCACTTTGGGAGGCTAAGGTGAGCAGATCACCTGAGGTCCGGAGTTCAAGATCAGCCTGGCCAACATGGTGAAACCACATCTCTACTGAAAATACAAAAATTAGCCCGGCGTGGGGGCAGGTGCCTATGATCCCAGCTACTCAGGAGGATGAGGTAGGAGAATCACTTGAACCTGGGAGGCTGAGGTTGCCATAAGCCGAGATTGCGCCATTGCACTCCAGCCTGGGCAACAAGAGTGAAACTCGGTCTCAAACAAACAGTGTTGACCTCTTAGCCCTTCTGGAAATCAGTCTTGGGGATCCCGAGAGGTCCACAGAGCACATTTGGAGAAATACTGGTTTATCACATAGGCACAATGCATTAGGCTTACAAAGTTTAAAGTTCATCAAAGACTGGCCTCTTAAAAAGGCAGATGAGTTTTTAATTCAAACAACAGAAAACACATAAATACATCACGAGAGTATACTACAGAGAACTAAAGAGAAAGGAAGCTAGGAAATCTGAATCACGTTTACATTTATTAAA